AATCATTACACACGTATTTTTTATTTTCTTACAGAAACGAATACTTTCGACGATATATTGATTTGAAATGTCTCGTGACGTCACTTCTATGTTCATTTTATACGTAGAAATGACGTTAAAGCCCCCACTCCTAAACTTTGATTCGTTGTATCTAAGTATTGTTTTATTATGCGACAAAATAAAAAAATACGTGTCTAATATTTTTTCATTACCTAACTGACGGACTAATTAGATTTTTAATTTTCATATCCTGTCATCATCCCAATTCATAGTTCAATACCTACTTAACCTTAACAGTCTCGAAATATATTTTAAGAGACATTGGCGTTGGTTACGATACAAGATTGATTGATGAATGACTTGTTACAGCAAGATGCTTCCAGCTTCAAGTCGGTGAGACTGATCACATCAGTGGCATTCTTCGTTGCCATGATATTACAACTTGGCATGCAGTGTCTCACTGGAAATGAACTGACACTTCAAGTAAGTTGACTTATGGGGTATGGCTAATTAATAATATGATTACTGCCTCGTTGTGCCGAGTGGTCGCAAGTGCGACTGCCGGGCAAGGGGTCTCGGGTTCGATTCCCGGGTCGGGCAAGGTATTACTGGGTTTTAAAAAAAATCTCAGTAGTAGCACGGAGTCTGGAATTGTGCCCGGTATATGGCAATAGGCTCAACCCCTATTACATGGGACTCATAATATAAATAGTTAAAGATGGGTATTACATTGTACAGTGGCAAAATGTGCACCTCTGCCTACCTCTTCGGGGATAAAAGGCGTGATGTTATGTTATGTTATGTAATTAATATTATAGCAAAGCTTGTTCTTTTAATAATTTCGGTGTAACAAAAGGATTGTTATTGGTTGTTGTAATAGGGGCATATATTTTATAGGGGGATATATTTTCCAGAGATGGACTGAAACTGACTATTGTTAGACACTTATATTATAGTATGGCCCAGATAGCTATATCAGTACAAGAACTATTGAGGAACTGATAAATTGATCTATTATAGAACAGAATCCAGAAATTAGGGTTATCGATCGGGTGGTGGCAATAGGCGTGTCGACAGGGTAAAAAAATCAAAAAAGTAATTAGTCCGTCATTAAGATCGCACGAAAATATCAGCCACGTATTTTTTGTTTTATCAAATTAACAGAAGAATACGTAGTTATTCCGCATTAAAGTTAGGGAGTGGGGGGTGTTGACGTCACACTTACGGAGAAATCGTACCTAAGTGTGACGTCACGCGTCATTTTTCAAAATCTACATGTTTTTTTGGATACGAGAAAAAAGAAAAAATACGTATCGAAGATTTTTAAAATATCTAAAAGACGGACAAAAAATTAAAAAATAGTCGCCATGCCTATTACAAGTTTTTAGTTTCACCCAGTAGTCTTGTATAAGTATTAATATCATAGTTGCAATATTAAATAGTAATACCTACGAACTCTGGAATTGTCCCTGACGTTAGCACGACTCGCTTTACAGATTCATAAAATCAATGTGTAAAAAATGGTAGACTAAGCATTCGTCAAATGGAATATTCACCTATTTTTTAAACATAATGTTTTTATTACCTTCATCATTTACAGGCAGAACGTATATCGGACGCGATAATGCAAAGCAAATGGGAACGTATTCCGCCGTCTCAACGTCGACTTTTGCTCATAATGATGATGAGGGCTCAGCGTCCATTACGCCTGACCGCAGCCGGGTTCACACATATGGATAACGCATGTTTTCTAGCTGTGAGTATTAAGAAGTTTGTCGTTAATTTTCCTCGAGGAAATACATGAAGTTTTGCTAATTTTCAGGTTCAATGTAAGCCTGTTAAGCTTTTACCATATTTTCGGTACAAATCCACCATCCATCCACTTAATTTTCTACAGCTTTTCATATTTATTTATTTCAATTAAATAGTATAACATTACAGTCACAAAACCAAGGCGTTATACATTAAAAAAAAACAAAACAGAACAGTCCTTAGATAAAACAAACAATAATAATAAGAAAACCTTACAAACTTTTTTTTTTTATGGAATAGTAGGCAAACGAGCAGACGGATCACCTGATGGTAAGCGATCAGCGCCGCCCATGGACACCCGCAGGTGGACAGGTTTTAATACCAACAAGTATGATATAAATGAGACATAAAATACAGTTATGCATTCATACACTCGCACAACTTCATGCATTCTTTGCACACAGTCCTCAGCTTGACGCAAATATATCAAACTCTGGTGATGATGCCAGAAGATCATATTGTGATGCCTACTAATTTACGTTAGTTAGTAGTTAGTTATCTGGGAAGGGAAATAGGGAATCCATTATCTCGTAGATTAATCTGGTGCTACGTAAAGTGTGAAATACTATAAGTCCGAAAGTATGTTAACTATGTGAGATACATTTTCACGCCCAAACCAAATTAGCCGAATTTGGAACTACCTAATGTGTAGAAAAGCGTTTTTCGGAAATATCTAATTAAAAATGACTGCCTCATCGGCCGAATGGTCGCAAGTGCGATTGCCTGGCAAGGGGTTTCGGTTTCGATTCCCGGGTCGGGCAAAGTATTATTGTTTTTTTTTTAAATCCTAGTAGTAGCATGGAGTCTGGAAATGTGCCCGGTATATGTCAATAGGCTCACCCCCTATTACATGGGACTCATAACATAAATAGTGAAAAGTCATAATATATAGTGGCAAAATGTTTACCCCTTCGGGGATAAAAGGCGGGATGTTATGTTATGTTAAGTTATTAATAAGTGAAAAGTGGGTGTTACATTGTACAGTGGCATTAAGTGTCGTAATTTGCACCTCTGCCTACCCCTTCGGAAATAAATGGTATAATTAGAAATCAGTCATAGTATAATTAGTCTAATTAGAAATCATTATTTGTAGGCGACCTGTTAACGCCTACACTTCCTGTCTTCAAGATTTTTGTCCTGAATATATTTTCTTTCCTTGCGCGAAATAATTCTGTGTGATTAAAGCAGTGAAGTGGAAAGCACGGCACGTGTACCTCTTACGCCTTGCAGGATACGCTTTGATAACTCTTGAACAATAGGTACTTACTTCAAGCAAGATAAAAAAATGTAGGTACCTAGTTGAAGTATGTAAACAGTCATGGTTAACGAGAAAATGTAAACAGAATTATTTGAAAAAAGCTCAATAATTTGTTAAGTAAAGAACTCCTAAAGCTTTTACTAACTTAAAAGTCAAACGATTATAGGTACTCATTCAATAAATAGTGAACAATTACTTTTAGTTGACTGCTTCGGTATTCGTTAGTTGACTGGTTACAAACGATGCTAATAACTCCAGGTTTTGATTGCCTGATCCGGTTTTTAGTTTTCAAAACTCTCAATGAGAATAAACCTGTAATTACACCTGTTTTTACCAATAGTCATCCCTCCATGTGTCATCATATGCATAGCTTAACTTTTAAGTGTGGGAGAGCCATGCTTCGGCACGAATGGGCCGGCTCGACCGGAATGAGACCACGGCCTCACAGAAAACCGACGTGAAACAACGCTTGCATTGTTTTTCGTCGTGTGAGGTTACCGGAGACCCAATTACCCAGTCCCCAGTCTCCTCAATCCCCGATTGCCCCACAGTCCTCAAATTCCCAATTCTCAAAAGGCCGGTAACGCACTTGTAACGCCTCTGGTGTTTCGTATGTTCATGGGCAGCGCCGAGTGCTTAACATCAGGTGATTCATTTACTCGTTTACCGACTTACCCAAAAAAAAGAACTCGCTAGTCGTCCTATAAAATATTTAATTTTTTTTATAAGTACCAAATAAAACTAAGCACCCAACTTTAAGATTTACCAGACCGAAATATAAACCAATATTGCTAAAACTAAACTTAAAATTGGTAGCAGATTTTAATTTAACGCATTGAAAGCTTTGAATTAGTGCGCTCCCACTGGCGTTCAATTGCATTCATTACAGGTTGGGCCCAACTACCAATTGACTCGATTCGTATCGCTTAAGTGCAATACTTCGTCTCATTAGATTCAATAGATTTATCTTTAAATGTGGTTACGTTTGCGAAGTTCGTGTAAATAGAGTCTTGAGATATAAAAGAGAATTAGAGAATGTAAAAACTCAGTGTTTTATGTGTGGGAGAACCATGCTTCGGCACGAATGAGCCGGCTCGACCGGAGTGATACCACGGCCTCACAGAAAACCGCCGTGAAGCAACGCTTGCGTTGTGTTTCGTCGTGTGAGTGAGGTTACCGGAGGCCCAATTACCCTCCCCTTCCCCAATCTCCCCAATTCCTGAATCACCAACGATCCTCAAACTCCCAATCCCCAAAAGGCCGGTAACGCACTTGTAACGCCTCTGGTGTTCCAGGTGTCCATGTGAGACGCCGATTGCTTACCATCAGGTGATCCGTCTGCTCGTTTACCGGCTTATGCCATAAAAAAGTGTATTTCTTAGTCTTTAGTCTCCTGTAACATCATCCCGAGGGAGTGGACAAAATTGAACTTAATACTTTTTACCAATGTCTTTAAGTCCAACATCCAATGGGGCTTTTTTATGAGTCTTCTTATCCGAAACGTTTACAATCTAAGGAACTAAAATTTTACATAATTAATTGAACGGTTAAAAATTACATTTGAATAATAACAACCATGATTTTTTCAGCCATTTTTGTCACACTAGCCGCCATGTTTAAGTAACAGAGCTACTTGTTTTAATAAAAATGAAGGCTTTCCAATTTCAAAATTATAAACTTCAAATCCATCTTACGTTGGGTTGCGAAAATTACTGAAGAAAATTGAAGTTGTATTGAGACGCTGTAAACCCGGCTGAATAAATAATACGAAAATTAATAATTTCAAGACAACTTTGTTTGTTTCAGATCATGAAGGCAGCTTATTCTTATTACGCAGTCCTAAGTCAAAAACAGCAATAAAATGTTTAAGGAAATAATAGACAATATTTGTTTTTTAAATAATTTAATTAGAATATCTTTTAACTCTGAACTTTGTCGCACATACTACAATCTAAACTATCACAGTTTCTTCGTACGTATAAAAATTATAAAAGTAATAAATTAATTAGTTGTAGTACTAATTTAAACACCTACTTAAACTTGACCACTGTAGAACAACTTGGAACTAATTACCGATATTTTTTCTAAATAAATACAAAATAAAAAAAAAACTTTTGTCTTTTCTTAAATACAATACAAGCACATAATAAATCCATACCTAATGCATCTTATTGTTTTTAATTTATGAATAAGTACATTTGAAAATAGAACGCTTTTTTCTTTTAAAGGATGACAGTGTCAAGTTGTTCATAAGTATAGTATAACGGTGTTGGCATAGGCGATATTTATTATCTAATGTAGTCTAGTCGCGATTTCACGAATCAAAGTTCAGTAGTGGTGGTTTCGGGGTCGTTGACCGCGATCTATCCGTGGTCCTCATATCCAGAACTGTCATCTCTTCTGATCTGTAACAAAGAACTAGAATTTAGACACCAAAACTTATAGCTATGCAAAAATATTCGCAGATAAAATTATATTTTTTAAGGGCAACCCTGTATTTAATTTGTTAAAGCGTAATTTTCATAAACCTATCAGATCCGTGCAGATTGAACTTAGGTAGATACTTAGACTATTTTGTTTCATCTTTAAAATAGATGTCATCAGTAGAGCAAATATAAATTATACACGGCATCATAAAATAAGTTAAAGTGCTACACAATACACATGTAACTTAGACACTTAGCATTATGCTAATAGTTAGCACTTAGTGTCAATTGCTCTATCATAAAACTGGTAGGAAACCGCATATGTGTATATGTTAGCATATTACATTAAATGGAGTCGACAAAGGGTTAAACACTTTATTGTTATCTAATCAGAATAACTCGTTTTTCAAGTCCATTTATGAATTGCGCATGAATAGAATTATGCCTTCGATTGAAGTGTAGATTAAATATATCCTTTATTACGATACATTTTTTCCTTTTCTATATGGAGTCAGCAAAGGGTAGAAACAAGCAGATGGATGGGATACTGATCAGCAGCTGTAGCTAAATGCCATTTAACGCTTGTCTACGTGTAGAATAGAAAACCAAATTATATGGAATTGACGTAAATTTTGACACTTGTCAGTGTCATCCTCATTCATTTTGATTTCTACTCTCTCTGTAGACAAGCGCTAAAGTGGCGTTTGGCTAAGGGCCCAGCACGATTGGCGGACACCCACAACACCTGAGGACGTACAAGTGCGTCATGAAGACTTTTTATCACTTATAAGTATTAAATTTTCCATAGTCAAAATTAACTATCATCATGTTTAAGACACAACCTCAACAAGATGTTGCTTTATGGTACTCTCATTTCCTTTGCTCCTCCCAAATATGTTCAATTCAAGGATCGGTCCGAAGTCCTAAAAGGATTTAACTGAATTTTACATGGAGCGACTTCAATCTGGCCTCTACAGTCCACTTGGGACATGATGACATCCTTGTTTAAACCTGTTGTCTGATTGTCAGGTTTTTACTATTGCAATGAATGTACATAGAAATTGTGTCTTTAAATATTCATTTGGTCATCTCATCTATAAACACTTACATTCTTACCTTGCCCCGCTTGCCTACAATATTCGATAATCTAAGTATCCAACTCGTAGGATTTTCTTCATTTCGACGTTTCGAAAAAAGGTCCTCCGATCAAAAATAGTCATCGATCTAAATTTTTATGTCGAAAAAAAGAAAAATTAACTCAATTACTTAACCAAATAAATTTTACAGAACGTTCTGACGCATTCTTTAACTTAAGAAAGGTACCAGGACTTAATAACCCTAAAGAAGGTCCTCACCTGTCTTCTTCTGTATGTGCCGCGTTGTAAAACACGTCAGGTAGCGGCGAGTCATGCTGGCTCAGCAGTGAGCTGCCAGCCCTCGGGGAGTGAGGTCCATGTGTCGCGTACGGGGAAAATGGCACTGCTGCTCTCAGCGCTGCTAGGACTAGGAGCATGCCGCCTGGTGACAAAAAAACAAAGGATTAGTAAAATCTTACCCATTGTAGTTTTCCATTGGCTGTACTTGATGTGATTATGTGTTTATTTTTACTTATGATAGGTACGTTTAGTACACTTATAAAAACTGAAAATGTATGATAGACAAAAAACAAGCCCAGTGGCGCTATTGAGAAATCGTTGTCAAAAATATTATAAAAACTAGATCTATTTATTTATTTATCATTTTATGTAAATTATACAGAAGAAAACACATTAAAAGCATGAGGTACATAGGTACTGTATAACCCTTAAGGGATTTCTTCCAGCAGAACTGTGACAGGAAAAGGAATATAAAGGAATACAAAAGAAAAATAACTGAAAGTTTTTATTATCCTCTCTACTCTCCTTTTCTGTACCATTACCTAACTTATCATAATAATTCCTAATTCCTAACAAAATCCATTCTACTTAAAATATTCCCGCGTACTCAATTAATGAGTAAATGATTAATTAACATTAATAATTAATCCAGAGTGCGAGTCTGAACCTGCTTCTAATAATAGAATCATAAAAACTGAAAGGTCTTCGTTCCAAGGGTATAGTACGTAGGCGTAGGTATTACGTAGGTACACACGGCCACACATCAATCTATACAAAACCGGTTTATCCTGGTGTCGCGTCGCATCATCTTTCCGCACATTTAACGTTCAGTTTATACTGGTTATGTAAAGCTCGATGTGTAATAGCTGTGTGTACCATCCTTAGGCCTTATAAGAATGAGAATAGATTATTAAATAAGTTTAAAAATACAATACTGTCTACTTATAGGTCAAAATATTAACATATCGTTACGCAGGTTAATTTTTCAAGGTCCTTCCTATACACTTTTCCACTATTAGGTTAAGTGTGCTAAAAGTATTGTGTTATGTGGACCATGCAATAAGTAATTTATTAGACAATGATATGGGTGAAATCATTAACGCTCAGTAACCAGTTTTTAAAATCTCAGAATATCGCAACTAAAAATCACAATTCCAATTCTGGTCGACCCGGATATCAAACTGGCATCTCGTTCGTACCTTCACTCAGGAAAGACACATGGCCTATCATGTAAGGGTTCACAGCAGATTTCGAAGTCCCACGTTGGGTGCCACAAGATTTATTACCTCGGAATGTAATTCGTTAAAGACTCACTCACGCTTCGAACTTTAAAGTACCTTTACACAAACATCATGCATCGCATCTAGTCTTTCGTTTCGAGATTCGGTTTACAATACATATGTATTATGTACAATAGGGTAGTTGACAGGGTAAGAAAATTAAAAATCTAATTAGTCCGTCAATTAGATAATGAAAAAATATTAGACACGTACTTTTTATTCTCTCGTATAAAGTTACAATACTTAAATAAAATGGCGTTAAGTTTAGGAGTGGGAGGTAGTTATGTCACAACGTGGTACATTTTGTTGCACGCTGTGACGTCACACGACATTTTAAATCAATATATCGTCGAAAGCATTTAATTTTGTGAGAAAATAAAAATAATTATGTGTTTAATGTTTAAAAATAATCTACCAGACGGACATTAAAATAAATTTTAGGAAACTAACCTATTGTATTCATTCATAATTTTGCCTGTTCTTTTTTAAGTGTGGTCAAAGTCAAAGTCAAAAGTCAAAATCATTTATTTCAATTAAGCCAGAATCTGCACTTTTGAACGTCAAAAAAAAATTAAAAGTGAAGCTATACTCCATAACTTGGACCGGAGATGTACGAGGCAACCTAAACATGATTAAAAGAGACCATGCAAAAAAAAATAACATGTGTTTTGAAAATAAGCCAGTCAATTCGTCACACTTGGTAAAACTGCCCAATTTCGACCAGGAAAACTGGTCTTACTCACCCAATTTCAAGGCCCAAGTTCGAACACACTTAGTGAAGCAATGAGGGAACAAAGAGTAATGGCAGTGGAATTGCTTTCCTCTACTCCCATTTACTCGTAATACTCAGTAGTTACGTTTTAGCAGAAAAACATGGCGCGTAAACAACTCTCGGCTTGCACAAACAAAATTCGGGTCGCGGCGGCAACTGACAAGGCTAAAAGAAGTTTTGAAATGTACAGAAGTTTGTGTTCTCGAGTGGAGATGGGACGGGGAAGTATGCGGATGAATCATTTATTAAATGCAAAAATGTAAGTTATTAGAATGGTATAGAAAAGATAGCGTAAACTGGTAAAATCTATGCCTGTTCTATTTCAAATATTAGTTTTACTAACAAAAAAAACATGTTGTAACGTTACTTCTAGGAGAGCTAGAACGTAGTGTTACTAACTGAATAGTCTGCCGGCAGATAGTTATAAGCAGTGAAACAAATTCAATTAAATAGCTTCACTGTTAATTTATTTATTTTTTTGACGTTCAAATGTGCCATTCTGGCCTAATTGAAATAAATGATTTTGACTTTGACTTTGAAATTAGGTTAAACGTAAATTAAAGTCATATTACCTAGAAATGTCTTAATTTCTACATTTATAAGTTTCAACAATATAATATGTATAATATTTGTATAATATTTATGAGTACATTTAATTATAATGCCTAGTGACTCGACCCCACAGTCAAACCATTGCAACGGTTTTGTGGGGATACAATTTTTACATACTTTCCTGTGTCATTTACCTGTCTGCACCACTCTGAATTTTTTTTGAACTTAGTTATTAAAGAATAATGAGCTATTTAATCTAAATATAACTACGTACTATAATAGAAGTCTGTATAAAATAACAATGAAATACAAACAAAAACTAACCTGAAATAGTAGCGAACAGTGTGAGATGAGCAAACAGCAGTGCGGTTGCGCCACAAGCGTACATGGCAGCGCGGGCGCGGCCACAGGACCACCGCATGAAATCCCAGCACCGCAATGAAAGGGTGTACTCTCCTCGTCTGCAGAGCAGGTCCACGAACAATGCTGCCACCCACATCGTCTCCAGGATCAGGACTAGAGCTGCACCCACGCTGTAGACAAAAGTATTTTAGATCTCCATTCGAATTTAATTATTTGTCAACGACTAAACTATAGCTTATTGGAGGAATTAGTTTAATTTATATGTTGATATGCCAATTATCGTTCAAGGCTTGTTAGATGTTATTAATATTAAATCTATACTTCTATATTTATACTAATATTATAAAGAGGAAAGATTTGTACCTATTTTTTTATGTTTGTATGTTTGTAATGAGTAGGTTCAAAAAGTACTGGGCCGATTAAAAAAAATCTTTCACCAATAGAATGCTACATTCTTCCAATCTGACATAGGCTACATTTCATTTTGAAAAAAATTAGGGACCCTTGGTAAAATTTGAACAATGTAACCGACGGTGTAGAAAAATGAGTCTTAAAATGTCTTTCGTCGAATGCGCTGCTGAAACTATTAGCGATAGAACAAAATAATGTACAACAATATTGAAGAACATCATAATGTCTACAAAAAACTCCGCGGTAGCATATGTCCAACTATTGTAGTTATGTCACTACAACAATCCAAATTTACGAAAATAAATAATTGTCTACCCCGTGCGAAGCCGGGACGGGCTGCTAGTGGTATATACAAAGGTATAATCAAATATTTGCAGGTACTATGTGTGTATGCAGAATAATGCACAAATCACGTAGAATCCTCGTTACTAACGAAATTATTTGATTACTGAAAACAATAAATAAATTTTTGAACCGATAAAACCGATATCGTATAAAAACAGATTAACAACATCACAACTAATTAATTCGACTCTAAGATTTCTTCTTAGACCAACCACTAACTTTCATCCCATGAAAAAGTTTATGGATCTCCCTAAACCGGATCCCTAATTACAAGTTTCGGTTATTAGAGCCCGAAACTATCCGAGCAGAAGTGACATTTACGACCATTTAGATTCATACGATGTAAACTGGGAATAGATTGGTACACATGCATCACCAGAATATACGCTCCAAGTTACTCATGCTTTTAAATAACCCAGATATCTGGATAGTTTATATCCTTCACAGAAATATTCCTAAATTTTTTATAACTAACTAGCTACTTCCGCGCGGTTTCAGCTCTGCTCAGCTCCTATTGGTCGTAGCGTGATGTTTTATAGCCTACAGTCATCCTCGATAAATGCACTATCCAACAGAAAAATAATGATTCAAATCAGACTTGTAGTTACGGATATTAGCGCGTTCAAACAAACAAAAAAACAAACTCTTCCGCTTTATATAATAGTATAAGATATAAGATAAGATAGTCTAAGATAAGATGAACATTATTGGATAATTTCTTTCCTAGTTCCTACCCTTCCTATTTCCTAAACTGACGTTGTCAGGTTACATTTTTTAGACTAAAAAATTTTTAATAAGAAAAATCCTAAAGGTTCTGAAAGTTCGATTGCTCACTGGGTTGTAAAACAAAGTTCTAGATTTTGAAGGAAGGTATGAAAAATGTTAATGAACACGTGTATTAGATTTTCGGTACGTGTTTTTTTTATGGAACAGGAGGCAAACGAGCAGACGGATCACCTGATGGTAAGCGATCAGCGCCGCCCATGGACACCCGCAACACCAGAGGAGCCACAGGTTCATTGCCGGCCTTTTAAAAAGGATTATGCTCTTTTCTTGAAACTTTGAAGGTCGTATCAGTTCGGAAATACCGCCGACGACAGATCATTCCACAGTTTTGCTGTGCGAGGCAGAAAGCATCGTGAGATTAGCACAGTTGTGGCCTGCTAACTATCTATATGGTGGGGCATATGCATATATGCTGTCGTGAGGGTCAATTGTGAAAAGATATGTTTTTTAGTTTTTAAATATGTTCTTACATATATTGTATATAGTAAGTTTCGTAATTATAGCACCTAAATATGCATTCCATACAACATATCTTGGTACAACTTTGTTAAATATTTTTTTTCTAACTGCACAGCATGTTGCACTGACATAAGTCTAGATTGATATGGTTTCTAATTTTAGCAGAAGGTCAATGTTATTTTTGTTATGTTTCATCACTGTCGTCTATCAATCTAATGCTGTCATATCCGTTTGTGGTTCTTTTATCATATTTTTACACACGTCTCTATTCTTCCATTTTATAAATCCATTAAATTAATCACCGACTATCTATCTAATACATCACCGAGTTTCCTTGATAGTTCAACGATATCTATTTATAGTACTATTCTTCCACTTTTATCAAACAACATTAAGAGGTCTTTCGTCTTATTAAACTTAAAGGCCTCTAGAAAATACAATATTTAGAAAAAGTATTCAGTAAAAGGTTTTATAAGGAAAAAAGGAGTACCTTAGTCTACATTTTTATCCATTGATTCCGTTTTATGACGTAAATCTGTGTATATTTTAGGCTTATACTCTTCTTGTTTTTTTTTCATTTTTGTGAGAGCATAATACCTCTAGTGTTACATTTTAACCCTTTCGGGAATTTCAATTTGCGAAGGAATGACCCGCCATCCCTTACATAGAGGTACGCCATAATTATGATTTGTTTTTTAAAACACACATGGGCACAGGTAACAATGTCTAATGTTAATAAAAATGAAACACAAAAAGCTTAGTTAAATTATTTCCGTAAAGCCTTTGTTTTCGTCGATAAATTTAAACTTTTTTGTACCTATATTGAAAGCTGTAAAAATATTTATAACAGTCTTCCAATTTTACGCAGAGAGTCATAAATTGTCTGAACTTTGTCTTAAATTTTGTTACCAGCTTGGAAAACAGAAGTGCGGACTCCAGTCGTTATTGAATTCAAATGTAATAGGATTAAGGAAATAGTTTCTGTGGAAATTTTAAGAAACAATTTTAATTCGATGTTCGTTTCTTTGAATCTCTTCTAATTAGATAATGGGGAATAGTAATTGGAGGATCTTGCACGTGCCGTCTCCATTTCATCTAATTTCAAATTTTATCGATTGTAACTTTTAAGGACACTTAAATCCCTAACAAGACTTAGGTAAAAGCCTTACCTTGTCTACCTCACCTGGAAATGAAATACTAGACAGTGTAGGCAGTGATACAATTTCAATCCATGTGTGACCATGTGTAAGAATATGATTGAAATTAAAAAAATATGTAAGAGTTGTGGCGCTTTGTGTTTCTGCATACACCTATATCTTTTCTGTTCTAAGTCGTTTCCCTCACTGCTGAGGATCGTGACTACCATATACATATAAAAGAAGAAAGACTTCAGTTTATGTGTGTAAGAAAACACTGATGTAACTTCAAGTCTTCAACAAAACAAATACAGCTTTCGTCTGACAGATTTTTCCTTCAAAAATATAAACACAAAGGCGATGACAGAATGGCGTCGCGTCGTCGTGTCGTCGTCGTTACGGCACGAATGTACCGACAGCTTATCTGATTCAAATTCAATCTCAGCCTTTGCTGAAAGTTTTTTCAGTATGGCATTCAATAATATGCAGATAACTCGTCCGTGCGGAGATTTAGCCTTCCTAAATATTGGTAAATGATGATGAAGTTTTGATGTAAGTTTCTTCTAATTTCAATTTCTAATTTTGGTTCAGGCACACAATAAAAATGATAAAGTGATGAGGGTTTTTTAAATTTGAATAAAAAAATTTGAATTTTGGATTTTGAATTTTGAATTTTGAATTTTGAATTTTGAATTTTGAATTTTGAATTTTGAATTTTGAATTTTGAATTTTGAATTTTGAATTTGAATTTCATATTTAAAAAGGCTCTTCGGTTGGCATAGGTCTCAAAATGCTACAATATTGACATTTTGTTACATTTTGTTTGTGTTAAATCTTTATGTCGGCTATTTTGGATTATTCAATAATTAAGTTTTTTTTTCAACAACCCTTCATTGATTAATTGATTAATATTCTAAGGTGTCGCAATTGTCGTACTAGATTCATAGTTCAGTAATTTGGTGGTTCTACCTAGAATGTTTACGGGAGTTTTGAATTATTTATATTTATTTATTAATTCCGGCAATTTAGAAGATTTTGTTGTGCTCTTTTTGATTTCCATTTTGCACCTTTGTATGTGTACCGCTCGCAATGCCATCTTGAAAAAATGGCGGCCAAAAAACAGTTTGTTTACAATAGGTATCTCTTATAACAATAGGTAATCTGTGCATTTTTTCTGAAAACTTTCCAGGTGGCCCCTATATTTTATCTCCTTCTTATTGGTGTAACATTTGTAAATGTTAAATATCTGAATGTATACTTACAGCAGACCGGGCGCTACGTCGTACCCTAGAACCAGTAATTCTGTGCCGGCCCCGCTCATCACTGTAACAATCAAAATAGGCGTGGTCAGTCGCAATTAGTATTAAAACCAATTTAAAACATCATGGTATGTTTTGTTTCGTGGCATAATGTGCACTTCTGCCTACCCCTTCGGGGATAAAAGGCGTGATGTTTGAAAAGGTTTTGTAATATTAGAGCTCTAGAGAGTGTACAACAAATTGACGAGCATAGATCGAATTCCTTTTCATTCCAACTCCGTTAAAAAGTCCTTCTCCGTGTGAGAAGAGGTCTTTGTCCAGTACCTAGTGTGTGTCCAAACCGTATCATGATAAAAGATTGAATTCGAAAATACTATTAATGGTTTCATAATTTAGATGTGCAATGTAAAATTAAAAATGAAGTTAAATTGCTTCTTGCTTTTTTTCAGAATCTATTGTCACGTGTCTAGCCATCACCATCGTCTTATGCATACTTTGAACAAAAGTAAAATGAATCGCACACTTTGTCTTAAAAAGTAATCATTAATATCCTGCAGTATAATACTTCCCTTTCCATAAAAATACAATTATAAATTAGCATAAATAAACATCTTAACATAGCGCTTTTTAATCCCTAAAAGGGTGTAGGGAAAATATAACACCCACGTTCACCAACTTCTGTTTGGAGTCATATGCACAATAGGGATGATGACAGTGTATGAAAATTAAAAATCTAATTAATCCGTAAGTTAGGTAATGAAAAAATATTACATATGTTTTTTTTTTATTTTGTCGTATAATAAAACAATACTTAGATAAAACGAATCAAAGTTTAAGAGTGTGGGCTTAAACGTCATTTCTACGTATAAAATGTTCTACATAAAAGTGACGTCACGCGACATTTCAAATCAATATATCGTCGAAAGTATTCGTTTCTGTAAGAAAATAAAAAATAAGTGTCTAATGATTTAAAATAATCTACCAGATGGAAATCAAAATAAAAATTAGGCATCTAACCTATTCCAGTCTTCTATCCATTACTGGGAATTTCCGAAATATCAATCGGTAATACCTAGTCTTCACTACTCGGAAATGAAAAATATGCTCGGTAACTCGAGTCAGTCGAATCACAATTAGAACACCAGTTAATATATTCAACAGTCTATCATTTACTGGAACCCTCTAACAGTTTGTTATGAGGATAAACAAATCCCCTCGTCGGAGGTATACCTTTACTGAATATACATATTCTGCATAATAATGCCATGAATTTACCGAACTACAACCAGCTTAATGCTAAGTTGTTTTAGAGTATTCATGAATGTGTTTTAATTTCAGTTTCGGGAAGTATTTTAATTAAATTGCGGTGCAGTCTACCGATGGCGTCTTGGATCTAGCTCAACATGTAGACACATAACTTTAGACTTGTTATTACTTACACAGGTAAACTGACATTCGTTGGATTCTATTTCGGATCTCCAAGTTGACTGGCACGCTTGGGGATTATAGCAAATCCCCTTGACGTGGGAGAGCCTTGCTCAGCAATGGCCGACTTCTAGTTAGATACTTAAACAAACCTTTGAATACTTCTTTAGGAACGAAGAATTTAATTGTAGGTAATTTTATCAACATAATATGCTAACAGGACTTTCCTTTAGTCATGCAGTTATGCTATACATAGTTCTCATAATTTTATTCATGCGAGCGTATGTTTGTTTTGTTTGTTTCTTTATCTTTTAACGTGATAATAGAACGTTTTAACGTATAATTTACAAGGCAAAAAGTTGTTAGGATAAAAGGGTTTTTTGAGGGGGGAAAATCATCCAATGACTTCTCTCGCCTAGGCTTAGGTGAGAGGGAGTGTCAGACTCTTACTGACTAAAAACCACCCCGTTCCTACTCCTGCACTTCGAGCCGGAGCCCCGGCAACCCGTTAGGCCTTCCGCGGCTCCGTATCGGACCCACAGATATAGATAAAATGTATATCTGTGATCGGGTCCCATCTGTAGTGGTCAGATGACTCTTTGAGGCGCGCGCGGAACGCGACGACGCCCCGTACGCACGGGTAGGATAAAAGGCTGGAGAGCGATATAGGGTTATTTTTCCTTTACCATGCTGCCGAAGCCGCGGGTGGAAAATTAATTACAGCATAAGAAAAGGTAATAGATAACTCCCAAACTCCTAAAACAGAGCAATAACCTCTGTACAGGATACTAAACTTTGTCTCAGTGCCGAATGCCGTGGAGATTGAAACATTAATTATTTATTAGTGAGTACCTTCTGCCCTTGTTGCTTGATATTTGAATACGTTTCTCCTTTTATCCAGTAACGTTACTGCTAAGAGATTTTGTAAGTAGGAATGTATTATATTTCATGTTTAGTTATGTATTTGACTGTCTTGTTGGTGAAATAGTTACTACTAGTGATTGAAAGGCATCCGATTTGATTACGAAGTTGGGAAAGGTGATTTTTTGTGGAATAACTAGTAAATGAATATATGGATAACTTGACATCTGATGGTTTCGATCAGCACCACACATGGATACCCACTACAGCAGAGGAGTCAAATGCATTGCAAGAAAGTTATTAACTGTTCGATTTGTATAATAACTTTTAGGTTGTCGTGTTGCGCGCCTAAAAGAGTCATCAGACCACTACAGATGGGGCCCAGTAGGGCTGATGCCCGATACGGAGCCGCGGCAGGCCTAACGGGTTGCCGGGGCTACGGCTCGAAGACCAGAAGTAGGAACGAGGTGGTTTTTAGTCAGTAAGAGTCTGACACTCCCTCCTGCCTAACCCAAGGCGGGAGAAGTCATTGGATGATTTTCGCCCTCTCTCCAAAAAAAGCTTGCCAATACTAAGGAGTACCTATGTAATTATTTCACAGGACTTATATAAATAACTGACTGTATGAGATACTTTATACAATTTTTCAAAGTAACTACTTACTCACTTATCCGATTCGCTTAAGTAGTTTTTTATGAAGGAAGAAAAATTTGTCTCCTTTGTGATAAAAACTGTAACCGTCGGAAGCAGGTGTCCACTTTCAGTGGAACTTTCATTTCTTACTGCCTCCTAACTTTTATACAGTAACGTTCTGTTATGAAAATCTTAATATTCTTCATGTTAGTATATTCATAATATAACATTACGCCTTTTATCCCCCGAAGGGTTAAACAGAAGTGCACATTACCTACGGCTACGGCACTGTACAATGTAACACCCACTTTTCACTATTTATGTTATGAGTTCCATGTAATAGGGGGGCCAGACTCCGTGCTACTACTGAGATTTTTAAAACCCAGTAATACTTTGCCCAACCCGAGAATCGAACATTAACATCGAAATATTAGGTGTATAGGAAAGGTCTAGGTCCAGTAGTGGACTAAAGGACTGTCGATAATAACTAAACTTTAAAACGAACAATCAGAAACCTTAGTAAGTAAATAAGCAGTCTTTATATCTGTCTGTTAAGACTCAAAATCAAACAATAACACTTTCTCTTATAAACGCGTTACACCTAGGAAGCCTAGGATCGAGTGGAAATTTAAACCATATAACATTACCTAGATATGTACTAAGTCAACGACCCCTTAAAGCTTTACGGCCATTTACGTCACAAAAAACGCGTTTTTCGACCATCTCGAGGGAATTAAGACCTAAGTCTGCTGTTGACCTAGTTCTACCTAGCCTAATACGCCCGTTTCAGGATCCGTGTTGTCAGTGAAATTTGCGAAATTGAACCCAGTCAAGACGTCGATCTTATTCAATTTAAGGTGTCACACTGTTAGCAACCATTTAAACCAAAGGGGCAGTTAACGCTCAAAACATAGCTACAAACATAATTCAAATATGAAATAACCATTAGTACGTAGGAACTGCAAGGGAAATTATTAAGAAGGTACAAAATGCACAACAATAAAACTACGTAGTCCTATCCCACGGCCAGAGAAATGAAGTAATGTACGTAATTAGAATGATGACAGGGTATGAATATTAAAAATATAATTAGTACGTAAGTTAGGTAATGAAAAAATATTAGACATGTATTTTTTTATTTTGTCGTTTATAAAACAATACTTAGATAAAACGAATCAAAGTTTAGGAGTGGGGGCCAAAACGTCATTTCTACGTATAAAATGTACATAGAAGTGACGTCACGCCACATTTTAAATCAATATATCGTCGAAAGTATACGTTTATGTAAGAAAATAAAAAATACGTGTCTAATGATTTAAAATAATCTACCAGAAGGACATTAAAATAAAAATTATTCATCTACCCTATTGTAAACAGACGTGTTGCTAATGCTAAGTCATAGGTTATATGCAACTATTAGCTTTATTACTACGGACAGTAGTAGACAGAAGCCTGTTAAATATGGACTCTGATTAATTGTTTTTTATGGGAATAAACACGACTGTTTTCAAAAAACGTGTTATTCACACATCTTTCATTAATATTTAAATGCTTTTAAACATACTGATAGAACGACTTAGTGCAGTTGCACTCAAATTGGGACACGCCACGCGACACACACTAATAATAGGTCAATAACCAAACATGACACAACAGATCAAAAACATTGACCTCTTTATTCAATACATAGATCACAACACAACGTGTTTTCGAAAATTCGCAACAGAACAAACAGTTTAATAGAGAGAAATTGAACGATTACACCATAAAAGTTCATGAGCAAATCAATCAGAGAATAATACGTAGGTACTAAAGTATATTGTTTTGTTTCCGTTTGTTCGGAATTTTCCATTGACAATTGTACAATTTGTAGCGAGAAGTGAACACGAACGCCGTACAACCATACTTTACTTAAGCAAATTGGAAACTATCAGCTGTATGCCTAGTTTATAGGTCCACTTCTATATGTTACGATGCAATGACGTTGTGTACACGGCTTAGGGCTCGTACACAAAACTGCGATGCGATGCGATGCTAATTCGTAACGCAGAAAATTACGATGCGAATTGCTGCGATGCGATTTCATGCGACACGGTCTAAACGTATTTTAAATTAAAAACTAGGTCGTGATATGGATCGTAACAA